ATAACATTATTAGCTTGATGTTCATGATTATGAATAATTCCTTATGGCTAATTTCCGGACCAAATAATAAAGTTTTTTGCTAATTTTGGTTACGATAATGTTTGGTAACAGTCCGTCTTGAAACAGTTTCTGGAAGGTTTTATTTTTTGCTTTATGTATTTTAAAAAGGGCGGCACGTTGACACGGTGATTAGCACTGTTGCCTCACAGAGACTCGCCCTGCATCAGGCTGTGACCTGTCCAGCGTGGACCCCGCCTCTCCACTCATGGTTGCTAGGATAGGTTCCCGCCTCCCTGATAAGGATAAGCAGAGGGGAATGGATGGATTTAAAAAGATTTATTCCATCACTTGCATTAGAGTAAATTCTAACAATTAATATTATTGTTGTCGTTAAGCTCATCTGGACCACTTGCCTAATTCAGGGCTGTGGCTCGGCTGTCACAGGGTAACCAGTCTGTCACCAGCACGACTGACAACCATTCAGCAGCTATCACAATATGCACGTCGTCTGACTGAGGAGGTCAGAGTACCCAGAGAAAACTGACACGAGCACCGGGTGAACATGCAAAGGCCTCGGCCGTTCGGCGGATCGAAACCCAAGACTTACTGTTGGCCGATGGCGCTAACCACCATGCCTCCCATCCGTGTTTTTGCAAGCAGTCTTATCAAAAGATGAACAAAGTAGCTAAAACAGGTTTCTTCTATATAAAGCACAACATAAAGCTTCATCAAATCCAAAAAACAGCCAACCGAGCCAAAGCTTCCCTTTCTGTCTCAACATGAGAGGAATCTGTGGTTTTGTCCTGTTACCTGAATGCACCTCTTACAAACGGCCTCCTTTCTCTCCTTCTCTTATCTTTCCTTTCTCCTCTGTAATCTCTTATGTTCTCTTAATGTTTATTCAATCTTTGATGAGCTGGATCATCTCTGTCAGCACTGTAATTGTGTGTTTTCACTTATTTACGCTTCTCTGTGTCCTCACCTCTGTGCAGAAACATCTGTTTAGTCCTGCTAGCGAACGGCAAATAGAGAAGCTGAATTCCTAACGGGGTCCCGGATGAACCGTTTCACAAAGGGGATTGGGGAGGACACTGAAGTCTGCCAATCAACTGAGTGTTTTCCTCCAATTAAGCTGAGGTTGAAAAGATAGGTGAACCTCCCTGAACAAACGTGGGCTCAAAGTTGCTCTCGGTCTTTACTTAGGTGGCTACGCAGCGGGCTGTTTGCTCAGGCTTTGGACTGACTCACAAATCAAAGTGTGTGTGAGAATAGAGAGATTAGAGAATCAGAATAGGTCTGGGATTTTACCTGCACCGCTTGCGTCTTTGTTGTCAACCACCTGGATGAACTGTTAGCATTGTGTAAAGACACGCACATGCACAAATAGGTGCGCGGACAAAAGAGTAACTTTCTAATACCCTGATAAAATGCAGCTGTTTTTATCTCCTTCAGAAAAGAGGCCCTGCGAGGCTGTTTGAATAGAGCTAATGAGTGAATGAGCATTGTTCAGAGTGGGAGATTCCCCTTCCACACTGAAGCATTCGGTTGCTCTCGGTGTGGCCGGTCCCAGCAGCTGCTGTCATTTCAGGACATGGCGCAGAGCGTTTTCAGCGCACACTGGCGTGGACCTATAGGGAAGAAGACGGAGGAGAAAGCGCGGTGACATGATGACAGACTTTCAAAGCTTCTGCTCGAGAGCTGCACGATTCGGTTAATAAATAATATCAGATGCCATCAGATCGGTTAAGCAGAGTTACAGAAAACAGTCGAGTTCAGCTGAATAGCTTCCTGCTGTCGTTACATTTGTTTAACAGGAAGTGATGTGCCCGGCTGGGAGCTCGGGTTTCAGAGACAGGACTGGATAATGGAAGTTTGAGGGATCTAATTGAAACCTGGCTCCTTTTCACCTGCTTTGTTTTCCCAGTGCGTTCATTCTGTTTGCAAAAAGAAAACATGTGTTGTGACAACTTCACGTTTCACCGGCTTCTATCGTCCTCTCCTCCTCGCGGTTTCCCCTCCAGGTGAATTCAACCTCGTCCGGCTATTAAATGAAGCCCTCCGGGACCTCAGGAGGGAGGGGTGGGGCATTAGCTTTCGGAAGTGAAGCTAGCTCTCTGACCCGCCGTGGTGAAAGGCCCTCGCTGCATCACGCACATAAAATGATCTCTGTGGGCAAAGCAGGAGATTACACCTGATAGGAAGCAGACGTAGCATAAAGTCAACTGGCTCCTTTGTGGAATAATCCGCTTTTCTCATCCGAGGCATTGCGATGAGTGATGAGGCCTGGAAAAAAGAGTAGCAGAGCGACTATTAACCGAGTGCTCGCTTTACATCGGTTTTATGCTGCGCTGTGATTTTGTCAGGAGAAATCACAGTCGGTGAAACTGTAACGATAACTAACGCGACACTGGAAAGTGTGCGTCGGTGTATTTTATGACTGTTAGTAACAGGAATTTCCAATCTGGTCAAACCGTTCAGAATCTGCATAATCCCTGCACACGATACTGTACAAATGTGAGATCTCTGACATGTCATTGAGCATACTTGTCGTATCCTCTAGGACTGGGATCCTACCAGTGAGCTACATATGAGGGGGAAGCCTCGGGAGATGACTGCAGGTAAGAGGAAACGACCTGATTTCAATGAGCTACGTTTCAGCTCGATCTCAGGCAAACTAAGCCTGACTGATTCAGTTTTAAATGACTCATCGGCTGTGTGTGAACAGTCATCGTGCGCCCGACGGCAGGTTTGCGTCTTGATGCTTTTAAAAGAAAAAGTCTTTTTCTCACTGCATAGATGCTCTCGGCGACGGCGCTTCTATCCCCAGATGCCACCGTCTCTGTTAACAATAGCGATGCTGGGCTTGTAGCTTTGTTTTGATTGAAACCAGTCTCGCTGGTCTCCTGCAGGAGCTTCTCTGCTGCTCTTGCTTGTAGTTTTCTTCTGTCAGAGATGTTTCTGAAAAAGTGATCTATGAGGGAGGAGTGGAACTTTGTATTCATGACGCTCTCTCACTATAGACGTGAAACTTAATTTGTGCCTTTGCAGCAGGATTACACTCACTGCAGTCGTGCACTTTGCAGTTAATTGACTGTGTTGGTATTAACTGAGCTGCGCGCTGCGAGTGTGCAATTCCCTGAAAGAGAAGCAGCTTTCAGTCAGGTAAAGGTCAGCAGAGAATCTATTATTGACCCTGTTACTGTCATTTTCAGTATCACAATGATATGATACTACTGAGTCTTTCTCTGCCATCGAAACCACGTAAGCTTGGATTCCTGTAAATGTTAGCTTTAGGTGGTTTCTCTACCTCTGTCGTTTTTCACACAATGACTGATTTGCTTTTTAATTTGCTAATTTAAAAAAGTATTTTGACGTGAGATGCTCTTGTATCAACAGTGAGGTACTCACAAAATTATATTGCCATGGTAACGTGTCGTCTCACCATTTTTAAGCCCTTTTTTCACTTTCTGGTGATTTAAAAAAAAAACATTCGAATAAATAAATAATAACATACATAATACAAATATTCTTTTATACATTTATTTATTTATTCTTTTTAAATTGAGGGAGTATGCTCTAATCGGTATCTGCGAGTACCATCTCTGTGAGGAAGCAGCAGGTGGAGATGCCCTCGCTAACCTCAGCTGTGGCTTCTGTCACCGACTGAAGACGAACTAATTAGGAACCAAGATGACAGAACATTACTGTTCAAAACATGTAAACAGGTGACTCGACACTTTTGACACATGGTTTGCTCAGAAACAGAAACAGAACACTTGTTCTGTTAGGATTAGCGTGCAGCTGCCTGCTCTCCTCACAGCTGAGCAAACCTGAAACTATATGGAAAGAAAAGGGGCGGAGTCAGCGCACTGCTCTGCACGGGTTTATTTTGTTAGTCCCTCCACAGACAGACTGTGCTGACTTATTGCCATTCGTAACGTCACAAATAAAAGAATATTCATAACCATCCCACATGTGTCATTATGTACAGCTGCTTTTAACACTGCTGATATTTCTTTACATGCTTTCTCATTAAAAGGTAATAATGTAATATGTAAAAAGTATTTAGATTTGATTGATTGAAGTAAAAATATTTATAGAGTGTGTTTATACATAAATCTATAAATCTATTTTATACTCATTTTGAATTTAATGGGAAAAAAAACTCATTGCAAATGAAAAATAATTTTTAAAAACTGTTTATTTATTTTGAAACGCTTCAGATTTTTTTCCTCATTGCTTTTGTATTTGTGTCTGTGAAGGTTCTCAGTCGTCCAGGTCATCGTAATTCAATTCAATTCAATTTTATTTATATAGCGCCAAATCACAACATTAAGATAAGATGGGGCCTGATTATTTAAGAGTCTAAGGAGCTTGGAAAGAAAAGCGTCTGGACTTCAGGCAACTTAAACAAGTCCAGACGCTTTTCTTTCCAAGCTCCTTAGACTTTTGTGTTTGTGAGGAAAACTTAATTCCAGCGCTCACATGAAGATATTCTTCATGTTTGCTGTGCGGCGCTAAAACGAGCTGCATCAGCGTCACAGTCGCACATTCGATACGTTGTGTAGGTTTTGGAGTTACGGAGCATGTTGTTACTTTGTAGCATGTAGTTATCCCAGCACTGATAGTATTGTGCTGATATTATTCCATGTATTTATTTATTATTTGTTTGTTTATGTGAAATTCTGCATCTGTGAACAGGACTCTGTGTGTTTGTTCAGATTTAGATGTGCTGCTGACTTTTTGTCTTGGACGTACGAGACACTGAACTGGAAACACTCATTCACAGCCTGTTTTGAGACTGTGAGCTTTATATAATTTTCACAAGTCAAACAATAAAGATGTTCTGTATTGGGAGAAACATAATCATCAAACTGAGCTCAACAAATGTGACCTAACAATTAGCAAAGAGGAAACAAGAGCATATCTTCACCGATCAGATGAAATTTACATAGTGTTAAACATAGACGCTAACACGAGAACAAACTGCAGCAGTTTGCTGGTTTACAAACATGCAAAACATATTTCAACAGTCCTGATGTGGATCGTGCATCACTTATTTCTAATCTCCACAAAGAAAGAAAGACAAACATCTTCAAATACATTATAGATGCTTAGTGTGGTGGTGAGGCAGCCGTCACACTTCACAACAAGCATTTTAGCGTCGTCGACGTCACTCGCCCTTTGAAACCTGAAGTGTCGCCACGATCTGACTCTGATAAAGCTGCTCTTACAGTGATAATTTCATATCTCACACTTTCACTTAGTTTTGAGATCAAGTTTCCTCCCGTCTGCTTATTAAGAAGCTTTACTGGACATTTGAGACGCATCTATATTATAGCAGGTGAACACGAGTCTGATAAGTAGATTAAATTCACTTTAATGCGTAGTGTTGTGGAAAGGAGTAGAACAAAGAGATCGGAAGTAAAGAAAATCGTACCTATTCTTACATCTACAAAGGAGCTAACAGGATTAATACGTGATCGCTGAGCCAGAAATATCTGAATCTTTGTTTTATCTGATGCAAAACGAAGAAGAGACTTTTATATGTATCCAGATCTTCATACGTTTTGAGAAAGAAATGTTTAAGAGAGCATTGATGACTTAGTAAATGTTGGCATTCTGAGGACCTTGTCCAGTAAACAGAAAGTTAAGTTCAGGCATTTAAACAAATGATTTGTTGCTAATTTCCTGTTGGTATAATATCAACACACAGTTTGTGTTTGGAGATCAGCAGCGCTTTCAGTAGATAAAATGATCGGCGGAGATCAGGCCACATTTTTGGGAAGTGGAGGCTTTAATGGTGACTGTCGGTGCTGCTGTGGATCAAACTGGCTCCAATGCCACAGAAATAGCTCTTGTGTGGCCCTTTCAAAATTTTAGAATAATAACCCCTGTCACCCAAAAGGGAAAAGGCAAGGTCTCTCCTTCCCAGAGATTATGGTGGGAAGAATCGATGACTTCCTCCATCGTTCTCCCCCCGGGGACGTGGGGACAAAGTCTCACTGGTATTAATAGCAGCCCTCTGATAAGCCGGCCAGTGGTCTGCGTCGTGGTGTCACAGCCTCTCGTCTTATTGTTGTGAGAACCTCTTGTTATAGTATCAGAGATAATAAAATATACATTTCCTCCACTTCCTGTTTTTGTTCGGCTTTCTGTGGTTTGCTGTACATCACAGTGTCTTTGCACACTAGTGTCCATCAGTAGGCTCCGGCTCCGGCTCTGTTGTGGTCACGATGGTGCTCGCTGCCTTGGGTTGTGTTGTAAAGGTTGAGATGCCTCTGCTGTTGAGCAGGCTGCAGGTTCGGCTCAAGGACAGCCTGTAACCCTGACTCGCTGGCACAAAAGAGGCTATAAATGTTGCTTTGCAATCATCTCTTTGTTTCTGAAAGGACGTGAATCATGTAAGGCTTCACTTTGTACAGTCAGCTGGGAGACAGCTGTTTAACAGCAGTTTTTTACACTAATGGAACAATGAATGTAATTATAAACAGTGTGGTTATGCTGTGAAGTGTTTTGTGCCCATTCAATGGATAACTTTTTTTCCAGCTCTCAGTCTGATAGCCTCAATGCCCCAAATGGGTTCTGTGAAAGGAGAGCATGGGAAAAATAGCTGCCGTTGTGGAAAATGCTGGGAAAAGTTTGAGTTCTCATTGGTAGCAGTGCAGGGCATTGTGGGATGTGAGAGCTGAGACTGTTTCCCCCTGTGAGAAGAAGAAAACATGCAAAGATGGACACAGAAATCCCAGCGAGTCGTCCAGACTACGCAGAAGCGCCTCGCTGCTCTGAAAGCTGGTTTCCCTTCAGTCAGAGGTGGGACGGTGAGGCGTGGGCGTCGGTGGGGAGGTGGGCTGGGTACCTGCTACTTGTTTCCCTGCCAGTTGTTTTTAAACCCCCTGACGTCAGCACAAACATTGGTGGCCTGCATACCGACATACCGGGCTGATGTTTGCCAGCCCATTAGCGAAGCCAAAGCGGCCGAGCCCACCCAGGACTGCGACCCTCTCCTGCCCACCTTCTGCCTTCCCGCCCAGCCCTGGCTCTGGATCAGAGGCAGGCCACACGTCGGGGGACAGGGCTAATGATGGCCACAGCCATGCCATCTCTTTCAAGCCCCAACCAAAGAGGACAATTTTGGCTAATGCTATTTCCTGCAGATAAGACGCAAACAAGCTCCTTTTACTTCTTTTTCCTCACTAGAGGTTTGGGAGGTGAGGGGTGGGTGCGCAGTAGCAAAATAGTCCTCTTTCATCATCAGGTGCTTGGCTTTGGGCAACCTTATAGATGACACGACCGCTGTCACATTACACTAATATGAATACATGAAGTATGTTTTGTGACCCGAATCAAACCATTTTGCTCTCCATCAAGTCCCTAAATGCCTCAATCAAGACTGTAATGGGATTATTTTACTCATCCAAGACTTTCTAAATTGTTTCCAGCTTAAAACAAGATTGTTGGAGATATTCTT